CGTTTCACTGAACGGAAAAACATGCTAAAAAACGCAAAGAAAACAAGCAGAAAAAACACGCCTATGCAACGCCCAGGTGTGAACCAAGCCTAAAAATGCATTCAAGTACCGTAACTATTAACAAAAATGTATCTTATTTGTGTATCACTCGGCTGTATATCCTCAAATCATCTCTGAATTGGTGCTGACACTGTCCTTCCTTCTGGAGGGTGGCTACTTTTGTTCCCCATGGTCCCTGTGTGTGTTGTAAAGTAGCCACCACTCCAAGCTCACTCCCGTGATGGACTACAATCTCATGTTTAGTTTGATCATTTGTATTGAAATTATAATCCATCATGGGAGCGAGCTTGGAGTGGTGGCTACTTTACAACACACACAGGGACCATGGGGAACAAAAGTAGCGGAGGTGAAAATGGTCAACAGAAATACCGAAAGCCATCAAAGAAGCATGTGAAGAGCTTGCTGAACCTATCACAAACGTGTGTTAAGACCTTTGCACAAAAGGTGTTTGAAAAGTTCTGATACCAAACCCCTGTGTGAACTAGCCCCTAAATGTTCATTCTTGTCTGCCTTGGCAAAGTCCATGGACAGCTGTGAATGTTCCAGGATATCTGATGCCGGAGCAGACAGTTCCTGGAGTTTAAATTTCCTTCTATGGAAGTTTGCTCCTTTTGCCCTCCTGCACCCTCAGAAAGTTGCTGCACCAACTTAGAGAGAAGAAAGCTGCTAAGAAACACGGAATTTGTTTTGCTGGATGAAAAATGTGGTCGAACACAAATTCACATTCATAACACCACATTTAAAAATGTGCAGTAATGTTCTAAGTGCTGCTGCTTGGGGGGGAGTTTACGCTAGTATACTGGTATTTCTTGTATTGTAGTGACTTTACATGTTCTTGAAAAGATGACAGCAATGCAGGACAAATGAGCATTTCGCATGTAATTTCTATGGCATGTGGCGGTCATGTATTAACCGTCAGTGTAAGAAACAGCAGAGCCATGACTTCTCACTACTGGATTTCAGTGATTAAAATTCTTTCAAAACAGTGCAATGATGGAGCTCAACAAGAAAAACAGTATAGCTTTGTATTTTGATGCTACTTCTTCAATTAAATATATTTTTACTGCCACCCAATTGAGTTAATGGGAAGGGGAGGGAGACTGGGGAAAAGCGTGACATACAGAGGCTAAAAAATATTGCCCCTAAATATTAGGTGGATTCTATGGGATCTCCTGTTAAGCAAACACATTCATTTGGCTGACATGTCCACTGCTTCATTGAATGTCCTGTACTGAAATCATGATTTTAGTATCAAACCTGTCAGTTAAGGAACAACACAATGGTTCCTTCTTATTTTGATTACAGGATACAGGAAAAGTCAATTTCTTGGAGTTCATTAAGGGACACAAATTCTGAGACAATTGGGTTATAGTGCCACCTACAGGAGCATGTGGACACTGGCAAACAAAAGAACATTGGCCAGGCTTATATAATCGCTCCCACTCCAATCGTGTCTCAGTTTTCTGGAAAATCAGTAGTAGGAGTAAGATCACAAACACAGAGCTGTCCCCCAATTAAAATTATTTTACAGTAAGTAAAAAAATTGTATTTTCTTTTTTGTTCATCAACGGGACACTAAACTGAAGGGTTGAATCTTAAAAAGGCATTCAAGTACCTTAACTATTAAAAAATTTAGCTTATTAGCGCATCATTCGGCTGTAGATCCTGGAGTCATCTCTGAATTGGTGCTGACATTGTCCTTCATTCTGGAGAGTGGCTACTTTTGTTCCCCATGGTCCCTGTTTGTGTTGTAAAGTAGCCACCATTCCAAGCTCACTCCTGTAAGTTCAATACAAATGAGTAAACTAAACAGGAGATTGTAGTCTATCACAAGAGTGAGCCCGGTGCGGTGGCTACTTTACAACACACACAAGGAATATGGGGAACAAAAAAAAGCTACCCTCCGGAAGGAGGGAGCTCTGGCTGGCATCCCGCCCAGCTCCTAGCAACCACTGACATGCTCCTGTGATGGGCTCTTAACTTCAATACAAATTACTAAACATGAGATTGTAGTCCATCACGAGAGTGAGCTCGGTGCAGTGGCTACTTTATAACATACACAGTGATCATGGGGAACAAAAGTAGCCCGCCTCCAGAAAGAAAGTGCTCTGGCCAGCATCCCGCCCAGCTCCTGGCAACCACTGACATGCTCCCCTGGTGGACTATAACTTCAATACAAGTTAGTAAATTAAACATGAGATTGTAATCCATCACAAGAGTAAGCTTGGAGCGGTGGTTACTTTACAACACACAAAGGGACCATGGGGGACAAAAGCAGCCACCCTTCAGAAGGAGGATGCACTGGCCAGCATCCTGCAGGAGCTAGGCGAGACGCCAGGGGCAAAATTTGCTGTAGATAGGCCTCTGCCCCTGAGGAAGCCAGAAGGCTCCCTGATTGAGAACGGCTGCTCTAGCGGCATCTAGAGTAGTCACATTTTCTACCAAGTTAAAAGGCACATTGCAAGAGAATAAAAAAAAAGCATTTATGGAAAGAAAAAACACTGCAAGTAAGTATTTCAAATATTGATTTTGCCTGCAATGTTTTACGTTGGTGAATGGAGTCCCCATTACATAAAAAATTTGGATGAAAAGTCCACTTTAAGCTGATTTGTTTCACATTAAGAATAGAAAATATTATAAAGATAATAACACTTCCCCTTAGACTTTCAGTTTCCCTTTAAAACTATTAGACATCTTCAATAAAGCACACAACAAAGGAAAGTCACCCCTAACAACCAGTCAGTACTCCCAAATTCATATCAGATTGGTTTACTATGGGTCACAGCGCTCCATCTCAGCCCTCATTGATAAGCCCATGAGCCTAGTAAGCAATGAAAATTCAGACAACATAAATTGTGTTTTCTTGGACCATCCGACAGTATAAAATGCAGTTCTACGCAATCATTATTCCATACAGGTGAAACACTAGTCACACAATTGCCCTGCTGTGGGTCATATTTTTTCCTCTTCCTGGCACTGCGGTGCCATTAGAGCGTTTATTAGAAAAGTCTCCATCCCGCACACGATGTCAATCCAGACAATTGTCTCCTCATTTTAAAATGGAAAGTTATATTATAGGTATCGTATGACCTGCCATTACAATTGGATGCATAATATAAGAGGGGATTCTTAATTTCGGGCTGTATTAATAAATATAAGGCATGTCTGTGGGTTAAGGCACTGTCTGGCTGCCAGCTTTCCTAGTTGTATCCTGTGTATGATAAACAACAGTATGAATGAGTTCAAATGTGGATTGGATATGGTTTCTCGATATAATTGGTGGCTCCCGCTATTTTTAGTACAATTCATCAACAGAATAATTGATCCAATCAATTGCCCTGACTGCTATTGAAGGGATCAAGAAGAAAACTATTCCTTCACTATGGCAATCAATTCATGGCCACCTTCGGAATCTGAATCTACTCATAAGTTTTTATAATAAATGTGTCTAACATGGGCAGCTGTGTGTACTGTTATTCACTTGTTTTCTTCCCTGTCCGAGCAGAAATATCAGTTCACTGTCAAAGTGTAACCGCCCCTGCAGGCTGTGTTGTCTAAGTTTAGGTTTGATAAATAACACTTAGTTCGAGATCTGTCAACTTATAAAGCCTTTAAGCTGGCCATCCTTGGTTTTTGTTGAACTGCCTGAAATTCACAGTGAGCGGCCCTGTCTCCAACAACCTTTGATTGAAAGATTAGAAAAGCCAGGCAGAAGATTGTCAGCATAACAGCGACTGCAGCCAAGCAGATGCAGGCAATGTTCAGATATTTTGATAGTCCGTCCGCTGGGCCAACTGTCAAAATTCAATAGCTGCAGAGGGAGATCCCTCCATCCACGCTATGTACGCCTGTAGGCTGAAGTACACTATTATATAGGCGTATGACCAGCTTTCGTTTTCTTTCATGTAATCTCAATAGCACCCTTGATAAATGACAATTTGACACCTTGGTATACAACAACTATTTTGTCTTTTATCAGCAATGAGCTCTGGCAGCTATACTGTTTTTACAATTCAATAACAAAGAGTGGAGATTGAGATTATTACAGATAGCCATTGATGACTAGGTCTCTTTAACAACAAACTCCAAGATTGCAGAAGTTGGGGGGCAGGACAGCTTGCAAAATGGGGGCCCCCTGCAGAAAGAAGGGACACTTGTCTGTAGCCTTACACATTTTACAGCAATGGTAATACTGCTCAACAGTCTATATTACAGTTTTAGACTTGGTATTCGTGGAAACTTATTTAGTAGTCCCAGATGAGTATGAGATGGTTGGGATATGTATATAGTTGTATATGAAAGAATGAATATAGTAGGCACTCATAGGTCTTCAAAACAGACATAAGAGTAAGTGTTAGAGTATTTTATTGCACCAGCAAGCCCACTATTCCCACTATGTTCACTGTTATATTGCTAACATTTGTGTGGAGCACCAAGGCATTGCAATGGATTCAGTGTTGGTACCATCACTCTGTATACATATAGTATAAATATATATCATTGCTTATAAATATTGCATGTTTTTAGGTTATTTCTGTCCTCTGTTGTTATCAAAACCGATTGGACCTGCATTGCGGAGAGGATAATTGCAGTGTGAGTCACGGATGAGTCAGCCCTGGTGGAACTACAGTGTGACTGTTCTTCCCCATCAATGGATTTCTTGGTCCAAGAGCTCTTTATCCCATCAATAAAAAGCTTGGGCACTGTGCAACCAGCTCAAGAACTAAATATTCAGCAGAAGGTGGCCTACCCCTGTTCTATGTAATAGGGTGCTTCTGTTTAGACTTTGGGGGAGAGGCATTGAGATGAATTAATTGAACTGGAGTTATATATTAAGTTCGGCTGAATGTTGAGCAACATTTTGTCCTCACAGATATATTATTGTACTACTTTGGTGTTGGTTATCAATTTTTAAGTATCAAATTTTTTGTCTTTTTCAGGTGTAACTTATTCTGACACCACCAGTCACACTGAAGCTTGCAAGCCATGTACTGAGTGCCACGGCAACAGACGCATGATAGCTCCTTGCGTGGAAACAGACGATGCCCTGTGCGCTTGTGCCTATGGGTTCTTCAGAGAAGAAATAACTGGAGAATGCCATCCATGCAGGACGTGCCCTGCTGGGTATGGCATGATCCTGTCCTGCTCCAATAACCAGGATACCGTGTGTGAAAAATGCCCAGACTGGACATTCTCAAATGTGGATAACAACATGGACCCCTGCCTGCCATGCACTATCTGCGAGGATGATGAGATAACATTAAATGAATGCACATTGACAGTGGACACAGAATGTTTCAGTAAGTACAAGTGAATGGGTTGGAAGGGAAGTATACATTTACGGAGCCCATTTATCGGCCAACACTCTCTCTTGGGTATAGGAGTCAGAACCAATGGTGGCCAACTAAAGGTAACCTGGTTCTCTCTTTATGGTTCTCCTGACCATGGAAAAAAATATATTGTTTCCAACATGCTCAGGTATTTCTTCTGAACACAATGTTCTGTACTGATTGCTGTCTGTGTTGCCATCCCCAGACATCCCCACCTTTTTTTTGGTAGGGTTCAGACAACAGCGAGTTAGGGAAAATCTCAGCAATGGGAGCACAGGGAGCAATAAAAACACACTTGTCAGGATTTAACTGGCCAATAAGTTTGCCTATCATTGTGATGGTCCAATAGGGGACAGGGCTTTGACACCACCTACAAGTGTTGAAGCTATTCGGCCCTAACAGGAAGGTTTGCACCCCTAGGTCCCTTCAGTTCATACCCGCATCAGTTTGTCCCATCCTCAGTGAGTGAGTCTCCATAAGAATGCAATGGTCGGGAAATATTGAATATACACTGTTATAAGATATGTAGTAGCCTTTCAGCACATTCAGCTGCTAAGTTGTGGAAAACTCATTAATCCCAATGAAATCTTGGCCTAGTATTTAGACATCTTGGTCCAGTTCCTACCATAATATGCCAGGAAAAATTGGGATGCTATATATGTAATACAAACACTGCTTCCCAGAAATCACGAGACAGGTTATTTGCAATACAGAGCAAAGGCTTAGTATGATATAATGAGGTGGAGATGCCAGGAATTAAAAAAATCCAATAGCAGTAATGGTACGGGAATATTTGTGGGCAATCTAATGCTCGTGTTTTATTGACTTAAAGGTGTCTTGGTTTTGGATGGCTGCCAAGGGATTTTAAGGTATAACTTTACTTTTAAAACAAATTGCTTCTTTTAATATATGCAGAGATGCAGAGTAGATGTGCACATATTACAGTGTGAATAGGGTTAAGAAAAGACTCATGTCAACCTAGTTTATCTTCTCACAACTCCTGCCGTTTTGGACCAGAAGGGGAAAAACAAAACCCTTTCGGAAGTGTTGCTGATTTTGCCATGCAGGAGAATTAAAAATTACCAACCATCCTCAAGGCCAGTCGGATCAATTGCCTAGATCATTATATTTCTATCGTCCTTAAAGGAGAACTATGGGGTTACGGCTTTTCCCCATAGTTATTCTTGGGGTAACGGGAGGACACAAACTAGCGTCCTCCCGTCACCCTAGGCTCAGTATTCCGCGAGCTGTAGCTCGCGGTATACTGAGACGCCGCAGTATACCGCGAGCTGCTGCTCGCGGTATACTGAGACGCCGCAGCTAAAGCGGATCACGACAATTGTGCCGGGATCCGCCCAGCTGCGTGACTGACAGCTGGCTCTGCCTATCTAGAGGCAGAGCCAGCTGTACCCGCCCCCTCCCCCGTCCGTTCCGCCAGTCAGCGCTGGCGGATCGGAGCGGGGAGGGGGGAATCCAGCCCCTCCCCTGTCACGGCAGAGAGCCATGACAGGATCGAGAGGTGAGCGAACGTCGGTATGTGTTCGCTCACCTCCCGATCTTCTGAGCCAACCTGTGACAGTCTCATTGTCAAAGGTCGGCTAGAACTATGAGGTGAGTGAAAAGCACTCACCTCATAGTTCTCCTTTAAGTAATTATAACAATGCATATCATTAGTTGCAAGAGCTTTCACAATCCTAGTCCCCAAGAAATATGCAAAGCTAGCATGGGACTGCTACAAAATTAGACTTTGGGGCAATGTCACAGGGTCTTTTTCCACCCACACTCTTGAACAACTTTGTTACCTTCGATGTGCTCCCCTGCCATTCTATTGCCCGCCTTAGACATCCGAAGCAGCCAATGCTTTGCAGCATGAGGGAGCATATGACTTCTGCTCAGGATGCAGAGCTTAGGCCTGGGTGGCCAATCTTTAGGCCCAAAAACTGTGTGGAGAATGATGTTGCCAACCTTGTGTAAGCTCACAGGGTTTGTCTCCCAGAACAATGGAGTGGTAGGGGAACAGGTCGGGGGTAAGCGGCTGTCACGTTGCCTTTAATGGACTTGTGTCCCGTGGTTAAAAAAGGTTTAGAAAGCACTACTCGTTGTCTTCATACTCTAGCACTGCCCTTCATGTCATTCTCTGCCATTAACCTCTTCTGGTTTGAATGACACCCAGTGTCATTTAACCCACTCTTGTGAGTCCAAGGGTTAGGGTTAGGGTCTTCATACTCTAGCACTGCCCTTCATGTCATTCTCTGCCATTAACCTCTTCTGGTTTGAATGACACCCAGTGTCATTTAACCCACTCTTGTGAGTCCAAGGTATTATAGACACACACCCTGAGGGTGTGTCAACACACAGCCTGGGCACACAAGAAAATGCTACATAGAACAGCTCACACGTGTCACAAGAGAGCCTTCTCTGTCTCTGTGTCATGGAGAACGGCCAACACTGAAGGAGAAATAAAATGACCTTGCTCATCATGGAACTGGTCAAAAGACTCCTGGATTTGCAGCATTCATGCTTGAAATTTGAAAATTTAGATTGTGGAGGAATTGGCTACAGTGTATGTTTTGGGGAAATCCCATCTTAGAGAGTTGTCATCAGTCATCAGCAGGGGTGGCTCTCTACACTTGCCTTTACATACACTTTAACTAATGTAGAAAACACACAAGCTGATTTATTAGGACAAGGGCAATGTTCAAATTGCAGTAGCCATACAGCATTTCAGTGATCTGATTTCTGTAATATGAAATGTGATTGCCATTCCTACTACATGAACATCATCGTTGCTCATCGCACTGCTTTACTGAATAAGCCGTATAGTGTTTGTGTAGAATATTTCCCCCATAAAATTCTCACTTACTTGTATAAATTCAAAGCTATTTATACATATGCAATTAATAGGACACATGCTGGTAGATCAGACATGCACAGGCTGCAATTATCCACGCTTGTATGCCCGCCTGTGCTGCAAGCCTCCCCTCCGACATACACTTGTAATGACATAATATCTACACCAACCGTCACACTAATAGATCAATGTAATTCTGCGGTCCATCAGTCTGTCTGTGACTCATTGTTCTAATTGCGCACCACAGTGACCTTATTGTGTTACATAGTGAAAGCAGGAAACTGCCCGTGGGCATCCTACACCATAACAGGGCCATCTCTGTCCTACTCATCTCTCCGTGGAGCACAATGCCCTGCAGGGTGCCTTTTTGGAAAGGGACTGCCAGAGCCTGGAAAGCCTTTGTGGGTCTACTGTACAAGGCTGGAACACGACTAAATATAACAGCTTTAGATCAATCTGGCTCCTCCAAGGCATAGTATATGTAAACCCTCACCCAAACCCTAAAGCTTAACCTTACCCCTCAAATGCATGTTATCGCCCCCTAACCCTTATGCTTACACAGAACTTCAGCCATAAATACAAGTTAAAAATCCTGTAATGCCAGGACATCCTAGACCTGCTCCAGTCTGTGAATGGACAGTGAAATGAGAAGCTCCACAGTGATGAGCTCACCTCATAGCTCGCCAATAACTCTCTGCATTATGTGTATGGACACCGAGGGACAGTCCACAAGCTGGAGCATAGGGGAGTTCAGGAGAGCACCGACCACTGGGGTAGTGGGGATCAGGTATGTAAAAGTCCTTTACAAAGGTACCCTAGACAAAAACAAGTAGTAGCCCTACTGCAAGGGAAGTTTATTTTCCATGGAGATAGGTGTTAACCCTTAAACTCAACCCAACATTTATCCCCTTAAATAATAACCCTTACTTTAACCTAACCTCTATTCCTAACCCCTAACGGCTGCCATACGTGGATCAATATTCTCAGCCTGAGGACTGAATAAGAGAAAATCAGCTGATTCCCCACCTACTACAAAAACATGAAAGTGGATGGAGGAATCTCCAATGCCAAGTATTGTATTCAGCCATCCATGGGTACTGTGGCTTCCTGAATACAATGGGGCTGCTGAACAATGACTGCTTCTGATAGGATGCAGTCACTCGCTGGCCAATAATTTTCCACCTGGCTTAGTTGCTTTTTACATAGACTTTTGTTGAGCCAGGGGGTGCTTGCAGGATCACCCAAGGTTCGAATTCCAGCCAATTTAGCGGGAATAGGTCGTCTTTAGGGACTTTAATGAAGAACTTCTGGTATTTTAAAAATGAATCCATGCAGTTGGGCTACCCCGCGCTGCAAAGGTTAAGTGCTTGTTTTGTTGTAGGGTCTAAAATAAAGAAGATACACACACCTGATCCTCTATAAAGGGTTAGGTGCCCGCTCACATATGGAATCTTCCTCGCAAGTCATTGGTCTTGTATTGGACGTGAGGACATCAGTGGGAGTGCCGGAGTCCGGGGGAGAAGAGACTGGGAGGACCAATCTAGCAGCTAGGTAAGACCGAGGATCAGGTGAATATATCTTTTTTATTTTAGACCCTAGACCAGGGGTCAGCAACCCGCGGCTCCGGAGCCACATGTGGCTCTTTCATCCCTCTGCTGTGGCTCCCTGTCCAGGGACGGAACTACCGGCAGGGCCTCGGGGCCTGAGGTTGTGTGGGGCCCAGTGAGGTCCGGTCCTGGGCACCCCCCATGGTGGAATATGCGGTAGTGCAGGGTCCCGGGGGCCCCCGCACTGCCGATAGGCTTCTCAGCAAGAGGGCCGGTCCTGTGACTCACTTCCTTCTCCGACTTTGTGAGTTGGGTGGAATGTGAGATCGCACTCACAGAGTCGGATAGAAGTGACATTTCAGGACCGAACAGCTGTTCCAGGGCAGATCAGTTCTCCTGCACATACGATTTGCGATGCTGATCTGCTCTGGAACAGCTGGGAAAGTGTTGGAATGCTTGACCTATTGCCAGTCACACAATCCAACTCCAAAAAACTGGGCGAAATTACATTGAACCATGTCACCGGTCACACATTGTAACGTAATCACAAACTTCGATAGAACACCGCCATCAGGGAGGTATGGCCAGTACCCATGTGAGGGGTCTGGGCAGCCTGGGGGGCCTCTTACATGAGTATCAGCTGTACCAGGGGCGGCATGGCAGAGGTGACAGGGGAGGGGGTGGAGGAGGCCAGGCCCCAGCAGCAGCAGGTAAGAGGAGTTGGGAGGAGGTACAGGTAAAGGGACCCCGGCGACCAGTCCACCTGAGGCCCTGCAGAGCCTACCATAGAGAGTCTCAGATGGGCTGTGCAGGGTCACTCTCAAGTGGGCTCTGTGAGGTCTTAGGTAAGCCAAGAGTCCAGTGTGTTACTAAGCCCTGAGTCCAGTGCGTTACTAAGCCCTGAGTCCAATGCGTTACTAAGCCCTGAGTCCAATGCGTTACTAAGCCCTGAGTCCAGTGCGTTACTAAGCCCACATATACGTATATACATAGCATAAAGGTAAAAAATGATATATGCAGTGTTATCTTCATTTTAGATGTCAAAAGGGTTTTGTGGCTCCCGGTGTTTTCTTTTCTGTGGGAAATGGGTCCAAATGGCTCTTTGAGTGTTTAAGGTTGCTGACCCCTGCCCTAGACCAAAATGAGAATTTAGCCCTTGCAGTGCGGGGTAGCCCCACTGCAAGGGTTAATTTTTAAAATGTATGGAGTTTTTCTTTTAATAACATTTATTATAAACTGTACTTACATGGAGGGCTGAAGGAATCAGCTCCTTCCCGCACAACGCTACGCTGAAAGCTCCTGATCCAGCGCTATGATCAACTTGAGCAAGAGACAGTTGCTTCATAAAAACACAAGTACTATCCCATGCTGGACATGACAGTATTGGAAATGTATACAGTATGTAGAAAAATAACTTCAGTTTGAATTTTTTTGGCAGCTGATAGGAAAAGAACTGGAGCTATGCCTGGCCACCAAACCTTATGGGCCCATAAGCAGATGTCCTCGGCATCCCCTGTAACAATTCACTGACTTAGCAATAAATATAATATGTACTGACAACTATAATGAAAACATAAACAGCTTACTTCCACTTGTAAGCATTCTCCAAAGTCCATCACTATGTTAATTAAAGGCATGCATTGTATTGGCATTAGGAAAGTGTTAGACGGAGGGGGTTGGATGTGACAGTGTGAAGGATATTGCTGTGTAGGTTTGTAGGCACTATCCTTGGCACATCTGACTGTTGCTGGAAGAGTCTTTACAGACTAGAAGTAACATTATGGTTTGAATTATGGGAATCATATGGCCGTAGACTCACACATGTGTGATTCCTTAAATTCCTTTTTGTTAGCTACAGCCTGTAGCAAAGCAAAAATCAAACTTTAAAGTTGATTATAGAGAATATAGGAGCCTTCTAAGAGTAAAGCTGGCCATACGCCAGTAGAATTTTTGGAACATTTGTTCAATTTTCTTTTAGTTAATGGGGTCAACCCAGCAATTGGAGTGATGGGGAAAAAATGGAAGTAGCAAGATGGAAAATTGCTTTCCTGAGTGAACAAAATTCTAACAGTGAATATGGTTTTCGTTCAAGGAATCTAAATCATTCCAAAATCAAATGTTAACACCAATGGAATTTGTCAAGCCTCTGATGGCATTATGAAATGTTCTGATGAAATTTTACTTATTAGCATATGAAAATTTACCATTATATGGCCAGCTTTGGACCAACTCCAAGCATACTCATATTCATTTTTTTTAATTATTATTATTATTATTGATTTTCAAGATTAAACATTGCAAAATACAAATACATTATAAAATACATCCATACATTCGATCCACAAAACCCGTCCTATGGAGGGATCTACTCACATCACTTCTCTCTCTAGAACCTTACCCCCTCCCTCTCCCCATTCAGTTCCCATTTGCCTCGGTTTCTATCTATTCCCTTCTTCTAAGTATATATCTAGATCTAATAGCATAATTTCTTGAATCCATGGTAGCCAGACCTTAAATTTGAATATTGTATCTTCCAATATCGCTGTCATATTCTCATTTATTACATACCAGGACATTTTATTTTCAACCTGTTGAACCGATGGAATGTCTGCCTTCCATGCCTTTGCCAATGTTTGTTTAGCAGCTGTAAAAATACTGGTCTAAATTGGTCTCTTGTGCATCCTTCTGGCTTTAAATTTAACAATGCTTCCCATGGATCTTTCCTGATTGCCCTATCCAATACTCTATCAATAAATGTATATATTTCCGACCAAAAACTCTGGATTCTAGGGCACGCCCACCATATATGGGACATCGAGCCTTCTTCCCCACATCCCCGAAAACATAGCGAAGATGTATCCTTTGAGAAGTTAGCCAGTTTAGTAAGGACCATATACCATCTAAACAGTAACTTGTACCTCTACCACAAAATAATTTTTTGAACAGTGGGCTACTGTATCCCAGATCTGTCGCCATTCTCTCTCTTGTAGTTGACTTCCTCTCTCATTCTCCAATGCTGTCACAGAATTATAAATAGTTGACAAGCATACTCATATTCTTAAAGTAGATGTAAACCCTGCCTGAATTCCATTCAATTTACTAAAGCACTGTGTGTGTGATCTTCTCCAGGACTTTTGTAACCACTTCCTGTCTACATACGCGGGCTTCCCATTGGTGATAATAGTGGACCATGATTTTGCAATGTGCATCAGCATGGCCACTTGGGGTTGGTTTACTAAAGCCAAAAGGCTCTTCACTTCCACTGCAATTGAATTTTTACTTAGCTTAGTAAATGTGATGAAAGCTCACGTCGCAAAGACTATCAAGTCATGTGCAAGGAGAATACAAATGCAGAATTTTTGCCTTCACAGGATTGGATGTTGAAAGTCGTCAGAGCTTCATTTCATTCTGTAAGCTAGGAGAAAATCACCTTGCAAAATGCCTTAAGTCTATCAACCCTCACTGTCGCCATCTGAAGCACATGAGGTGGCCAGGAGAGGGGGGAGTGTCCCAAGGTGTCAGCAGGGCAGGAGGCAGCTGCCGGATGAGCTGTCAGTCAGGGATAGGGAGATTGATAGTCGCCGTGCTGCTGCCTCCCCTCCACACATGCCATCTCCCCAATGAGATGCCACCAGAGGCTACTGCCCCTGGTGACAATGCAGTAGAGCAATTAGCAGACAGGGACACAGCTGTAACCCTGTACCAGGAGTTGCCTTGATAGTGGGTTTATCACCAGATATTGTTTTTCTCAAGAAGAACTCCAGGATTTATTAAAATTAACCCATGCAGTGGGGCTACCCCTACACAGCAAGGGTTAAGTACTTGTTTTGGAGTGAAAATGAAGATATACTCACCTACCCTTGGTCCCGCATGGCTATTAGACCGATCCCTGTAGCCTCTGATTCCCTGGGCTCCAGTGGTCTAAGGATCCGTGATGTCATCAAGTCTAATGCAGAGCTATTATATATGAGGATCTCGAGAGACATATTGATCCTATGTCCTGTGGCAGTGAGCGCTCACCTTTCATCCCCTTTGCTCCAGCTGTGGATTGTCCCTCAGCATCCTCACAACTAATGGACCTGCATTAGATGTTATGATGTCACGGGTGCTTAGACCACTGGGGCCGGGGAAGAAGAGCCTCCAGGGAATGGTCCAGCAGTCAGGTGGGAATGAGTATCAGGTAAGTCTTCTTTATTTTTTAAATGGGAGCAATTCTACACAGCATGTATATTTTTTTCCATCCAGACACCACTGACAGGTTGGTTAACTAATATTTTTGTACTTCAGTTATTGCAGCTGGGTCACCTCCCTGCTCCCAGTCTGCTTATAGGGCAGTGAAGGAGCAGCAGAAGACTGATTAATTTATCTCCCTGCTCATTCACCTCTCACCTGCTGCCTGCATGTTCCTTCTTACCATATAGACACTGCAGCTCACTTTATTGGCCTTTATTGCTGGCCTTCCCTTGGCACAGTGGGTATAACAGACTTATACCAAGCGTAATGCACATACTTAGGTACATAATTATTATTATTATTTTAAGAATTTAAGAAGTTAAGAATTTCTATTTCAGTGACTCAGGAAAATACTAAAAGGCAGAAAAGTCAGGCGTCTATAGAAGGAGCTCAACAATAGCAGCCTCCATATTACTCTTGTGATAGGCTTACTTTAATTGGGCTGAACCTGTACTGTGCAATGGCAAACATAAAAAAACAGCCCTCATGACAGCTGTAGTGTTTCTATTAAATTGTACAAAAAGGCAAAATGTTAAATGAAATCAAAGATTTTATGTAAATAAAAGAAAACATGTAAATAGATTAAAATGCGTATTTGAAACTTACTGTATTTTCCTATTAACTGATGACTTTTACTTATTGTCCTCCCGAGCTCCGTTTAAAGTTGCTTTTTTTAAATGAAACAACAAATCCCTATTTATTTATAACCAATACATTATTTTCTCTTCTCGTCACTTTAGATCCAAACCCACGTGTGGCATCAGTGACTCCATTCATGGACACCACCATTCAGGACACCACCGTGACTGATCCGGAGTTAATGGGCACCACGCCAGGGAGCTCGCAGCCTATTCCTCCAAGTGGGGCTGCCGAGAACCTCATTCCCGTCTATTGTTCCATTTTGGCTGCTGTTATTGCTGGGCTGGTGGCATTCATTGTTTTTAAACGGTGAGTGCGTTGTAACAAGGTCACCTGCCATTAGCTCTCAGAGAAACATCAGGAGAAAACATACCTTATCCATTCAAATGAAGTATATTAAACTCACCCGGATCTACCTATATCATGCAAGAACGATTTATTTAGGTCGATCAAAATTTGAAATGTAAAAAATGGGTATTTTGACATGTAGGTGTCTTGTGAATATCCTCGTAGAAAGAAAATTAAGAATGTCAAACTAAAGGAAACTAAATTAGAAGCATACAGAGGCCGTCTGGCCAGTAAAGATGACGGAGGACACCTTGTGATGTGGACAAGACTTTTAGTTTTCAATGCTTGACAGGTGTACTTTAAAGGGATCCTGTCGTGAGACAGTTGAGCTCTCATTTTCATTGAGTGGCCAACTAAGAATTGAAGGAATGGGTGAGGAATGGTGGTACGGGTTTTTCTTTTTTAAGTGGACACTGTGGACAAGACTCTTAGGGGTCTATTCACAAAGCTGCCGAGGGCAGCCGAGTGAATGACCGATCAGAAGTGAAGTGAGCCGAACACTGTTCGGCTATTCACTTCAGGCTGGTACGGCTGATTTCAGCCGTATATCGGCTGAAATCAGCCGTACATCGGCTTGCTTCGTGTGGCTTCGAAACAGCCGAACATGCTCAGCATGTTCGGCTGATCCGAAGTGCAGAAGGAGTTCGACTAAGCCGATCCAACATCTGGATCGGATGGTTGACAGGTCTACTTTAAATGGATCCTGCCATGAGACAGTTGAGTTCTCCTTTTGAGTGAGTGTTCAACTAAGAATTGAAGGAATGGGTGAGGAATGGTGGAACAGGTTTTTCTTTCACAAGTGGACACTGTGGAGAAGACTTGTAGTTTTCAATGGTTGACAGGTCTACTTTAAAGGGATCCTCTCATGGGACAGTTGAGCTCTCATTTTCATTGAGTGGCCAACTAAGAATTGAAGGAATGGGCGGGGAATGGTGGAACAGGTTTTTCTTTCACAAGTGGACACTGTGGACAAGACTTTTAGTTTTGAATGGCAGGTCTACTTTAAGGGCATCCCGGCATGAGACAGTTTAGCTCTCATTTTCATTGAGTGGCCAACTAAGAATTGAAGGAATTGGCAAGCCATGGTGGTACAGGTTTTCTTTCATGAAAGATGTGTGGCATCACTGCTTCATCTAACCTCTAGCACCAGATATTTTGGTAGCGGCTGATGGAGAAATGACCAGTTGAGGAGTGATGAAGAGGTGAGCAAAAGTTAGAAAGGGGAATTTCATCTGCCTTCAATGAGGAAGGTGAGAGGATCTCTTTAAAGCCGGGTATACACGTTTTTATTTTTCTCATTCAACCCATGGGATGAATAAAATAATTTAACAGATTCCTCTATCATCGCTCACGACTTTGGTGGACGAATGAATCCCCCACTGTTTGCATTGTACTCTGACGGTGGCAGCCAACATCTAGCTCCGTTTGGCCCAGAATTTTCCAGCCGGCTCCTTCGATCAGCAGATTGAGGGATGCCGGGTGGAAGTGTGCGAACAGCGGCACTCACTGTACAAATTTCGTCCGCTTCATCAGGAACCGGACGAAATCGCCCATGTATACCCTACTTCGGTCAGCTTGGGGAAATCAGTACCATACTTCAATAGTTTTAATTCTTACGTAATTCCAGAAAAGATACATTTGCGTGTAATAGTATGGTGGAATTACATGAGAACGATCACTGCGGAATAACATAGATTGTATTTTTGTGTTTTCTTTTTTTTTCTCCATCATTTTAAAACTCATTAGTAAATATGAGAGAGCTGTGTGACGTTTAGGTAGAAAGTGTGTGATCATTCGCTATCTCATCTTCATGTAGGTGGAACAGCTGTAAGAAGAACAAGCAAGGAGGGAATAGCCACACAGTGAATCAAACTCCTTCCCCCGAGGGGGAAAAACTGCACAGTGACAGTGGGATCTCTGTCAATAGTGACAGTACTGCTGAGCAACCCGCGGGACATATGCAAGGTATGGAAGGGCAATGATGTCACTCATGTCTCTAATGTCAGTTATCAGTTTTTAGCTTCATAAAGGACTAGTGGGCCTAAAACAAAAAATATGTATTTTTTTTAAATACCAATAAAATATGCTGTGCTGTATGGCAAAAATGATATACAGACTCTAAGATTGTGCATATTTCATTGGTATTGAATTAAGTAAATTTGTTTATTCCTTTTACTTTTATTATTTATTGATTTTTTTTTATTACAGGTATTTGTAGCGCTGTCAATTTATGCATATTCACACAAGCCCTTGCCCATAAAGAGCTTACAATCTAAGGTCCCTATCTTACATACGCACAGGGCCAATGTAGAAAGCAGCCAATTAAACTACCAGCTTTTATGTTTGCTGCTATATATATAGGGCTTATTATTTTTTTTCAAAACAGTTTACCATTTAAATGTAGCAGAAATATAGAAACATAAGGCAGCTTACAAAGCTGGCATGTATACAATACAATCCATGGAGGGACTAAACATCAGAAAGGTATCACTGGGAGCAATAGCAATCTGACAATAGAATGCTAAAAGGAGAATTATGAGGCGAGAGACTCATAATCTGAGCCGTCCTGTGGCAATGAAACTGTCACTCGTCGGCTCTGTAGATCGGGAGGTGAGCGAACACATACCGTCGCTCACTCACTTCTTGATCTATCCCTGCAGTGAGCCGTGACTGTCACTCACAGCTCCTTGCAGGGATTCCCCCCTCCCCTGTCCGATCCGCCAGCGCTGACTGGTGCAGTGGATGGGGCGGGTACAGCTGGCTCTGCCTCTAGATAGGCATAGCCAGCTGTCATTCCCGCAGCTGGTGGGTCCAGACAGCATTGTCGGGATCCGTTCCGGCTGCGGCGTCTCAGTACACCGCGAGCTACAGCTAGACATGTGCACCAGCAGTAAATTCGTTTAGTTTCGTTTTGATTTGGATTTTGCTTTATGTCCCTTTTCGGAATTCGGGCCCGAAAGTCAATTCGTTTTGGAATTTGGATTCTGACGAAATTCGTTAGTGGAAATCCGTACAAACGTTCGTTTCTAATTTATTTTGTTTTCGTTTCGTTGGTTCATTGCAGCAAAGTGACATTTAAGAAGGAAAATACGTTTTTTTTTGTTCCCAAAAGTTCATCCAAAAAAAACGAATCGGAAAATCGCTATATGCATTCGTTATATCGGTAACTCGGAATTCGGATACATCCGAATCTCCAAATATCCGAAATTTCAATTCGGATCGAAACGAATCGCACGTCTAGCTCGCGGTATACTGAGCTTTGGGTGACGGGAGGACGCTAGTTTGTGTCCTCCCGTTTCCCTTAGGAGAACTATGGGGAAAAGCACTGACCCCATAGTTCTCCTTTAACATGCTGCACGCTCCGTCCTGAAATCCAGTTTAACCATATACGGATGTGTACATCCAAAGTTTTAAATATTTTTTACATTAAAAATATATATATAAATATTTTAGAAGCTGTAATTTTCCTGAAATTTCTGTGAAATCAGGAGGTTTTGGCCAAATTTGCCATTTTGGCAAAATGCATTGAAGTCAATAGGAAAAGCAAAAATGCTTCAAGAGACAAAACACAAATAACAATCAAATATAAAAAAATTTACAAAATGTAAATGCCAAATAAAAAAGTTACCAGACTTCTCTAAATGCAGCCCTCAAAAATCACACAGGCTAAAAAAGTTTTAAAAAAATGAAAAGAACACCAAATAAAAGTTGACAAACTGCCCTAAATACAGAGAAGGGATATCTTTCAGTTGGGACACTTGTCAAAAGTGGGTATTTTTAACAATTTTTTAGATTTCCACTCATTTACAGTTAAAATTCTGGGGACAGGAAGGTCTTCTCTCATCATAAAATAAATAAGAGGCATATGTACCTCTGTTTAGTATGAAGAGAAGCCTGCAATCCTAACATCATTGTCCGGTTTCCAATAACAAAATCCTAAACAGAGGTTCTAACCTTATCACACTCTATCCAAGCTCAATTATACTTTACTTTGTTTTAAAAAAAACAGTTGTTGAGAATATATTAATACTAAGGTTGATTAGATATGTTTCGATTTGTAGTAATTATCTGATCTGCTCTGTAGGCAAAAATGACCTTCATCTCTACAACAGCCTCCCGCCACACAAACAAGACGAGGTGGAAAAGCTCCTGACCAGCTCCTTGGAGCAGACATGGAAAAACTTAGCTGGAGAACTTGGCTACCAGGATGAACTCATAGACACTTTCACACAGGATGAATTCCCAGTACGAGCGCTACTTACTGACTGGTCCGGCAAGGACAGCGCCACCACTGATGCCCTGTACACAGCTCTCCGTAAAATCCAGAGGGAGGACATCGCCCAGAGCTTGTACAGTGACTCCACTGCTACCTCACCAGTTTAACTGAGACATAGTGGGACAGAAGGAAGATGTTTCATGTTGATATCACTCAATGGAGCATCCTGCACGAGACGTGAAGGAAAAGTTTGCCCCTTGCCCCCCAAAATCCCCCAACCTCCCTTTATACCCAGTATTAACGGACAATCCGTCTGCACTGAAGCATTATTTTCAGTATTGTGGTGTGTAATCTTCTCTATGGACCTCTCATGTCCTGCATCTCCAGATTTCTCACTGTGATGGACCTAAGACTTTAAGATAAGGAGTTGCAAGCTGCGGATGTTCAGACAATGTTTTGAGAATTCTAAGGTGCACCCACCTTCTCTTTCTTCGGTCTTTTTTAATCTTCTAGGTTTCTTGTTTTTTAATAGGCCTTGACTGGTGACCCCCACCCCCAAACCCTAGTGGCTGCAAACCTCTAGGATCTTTTAAGGGAATGTGTGAGCTTTGTGCAGTAGAGGGTTATTGTGGCTCTAGATTCTGAAGGTTATTTGACAGTCGCACTTAGAAATACAGCACCTTATGCTGCACAAAGATTGTGCCCTAATTCCAGAGTGTTAATGATTTGTTCAGGTAATGCTGCTTAATGACCCAGAGACATTCTTACATTTACCCATTGTCTACATATACAGATTTATCTTTGACATCTGGTGTTGATGTCTTAGACGCAATCAGAACCTAGCTTGTATTCTTCTATGGCCATACAAAAGAGGAAAAAAAGTGTTTAGTGGTATAGGGAAAGATTCATAGTAGACCGGTCCAACATATATCTCTAGGCCATTTTTGCCTCTTGCTTGTGACATATAACCACTCTAGTCTCCTTCTACTCCTTTTTCACAATAACCTTTGAGAAGGGAAGGTTTTGTGAGGCTAAATAATCTGCTGACCCTCCTGTTTTGTGTTCCTCTGGATTAACAATATCAGAATTTATGACAGGTTGTTGAACTGTGATACCAGTTCTCCCATTGATAAAAGTACATGCAACCATAGAGATGGCTTTAGTGGCTTCAACATCTTTAACCAATGAGATGGTCATATAGCTACAAAGACGTTCATGCTGCTCAAGTCTGATTGGATACAAACAGAAGGAGGATGGGTTAAGCTTTTTGTAAGTTTTGGCAAATAATAATGAATTGGTGGGATTATTAGAGTAAAGATCAATGGGGTTAGAGTTTCCCCATCTTGCTATGCATGCCATCACCCAGATCCTTGATGTTTTTTTCACAAATCAAGTTAAGCCATGAATTTGGACCAATGATCGCTTATATGAAATTGGTAATTGGGACAATGGCATTTGAACATGCAGCACTGTGCCCTCAGTGGCTTAAATGTAAACAATGTGTAGACAATATAATTGTCTATGGGTTCAGCAAAGCATTAATTGCATCCATTGTGTAATACAATTCAAATGGCACCTCTTGTCACAGGCCACCTTATACTTGTACAGATGTCAAATGAACTATCATTACATGTTATCACCAGTGGTGTAGACAAAGCTACACTGGTGTAGTCATATGTATCACATGGTTCAAATCCCATGTGTAACTCCATCTCCCTGGCATAACAGTTAAAGTGAAGGAGTGAAATTATTGACTTTGGTTTTTACCACTTTAGCATGTACAGGTTTTGGAATTATCCGGTTTTAAATTTCTAGCTTGGTTGCTTGGCATAACGATACGTCTGGGTTTGGAAGAGCATGTGACCCTGTCCATTCATGTGACAATACTGGTGTTTGGCCCAGCCCTGTCACATGGGGTGGAGAGAGAGTTGTCAGCCCTATGAAAGCTCTACCTAGGACCAACCTTCTTCTCTTTGCTCCTAGCATCCAAAGAAAAGTAAGTGTTAGATACGGCAGGAGCCAGCTTTAAATGGAACCTGTTGCTGTGCCCTATACAAATTCACTTTATGTAACAATGGGAACATTTGCTACTGGGTTCAATTGAACCTTTATGGGCCTGCTCAAGCATGAGCAAAGAAGATAGGTCAAACTTAATTTTTACCAAGTTCAACATTTCATTCTCCTGCCTTATGTTATCACATTGGTCAGAAAAATGGAGTTATGCTTTAAAGTGGACCAATTATACATCATTAACTACCACAAGACACAAAATTACCTGCTCAAAAATGTTCTGAATAATGTTTACTAAGCAATCTTGTTTCACTGGACTGGTTTCTTGTTCCACCAGACTATATTTCTCCATTTTCAGGTGCACAGACAATCACAACATTTACAGCAATAGTGATAGGTATCAAGGCAGTTGAATAAGGTTGGCTTTAAAATGAACTGCAGGCTTTGCTTTGGTTAACGTATTGGTAGGCCTTTAAGCTTATATACTAATATAACAGGGTGAGCATTCATGCACTGAAGTTGGGATTCAGTATTTGTAGCCATAGGCCAGTGATCACTTGGCAGACGTATGGTAGGTTTCCTTTACATCTTCTTCTCTTTGCTCATACCTGTAAGAAGCAGTGAGTGGCTTGGCAGGGCCTGTGTACATTAAAACAAAAAGTTTAAAAATGAAAAGCAAAATACAAAATTCTCATGTTCTGGTCAAAAAGGCCTAAAAAATCTAGCTTGAAGGTCATGCTGTACATAATTTTAAATGCTATGCATGTGGTAGACATTTTGAATGTTGAAGTAGTCACAGATAGAGACAATACAAGCCTTTAGAAAATAATGAAGTTGATGGAGTTGAGAATTTTGAGAAGTGAACATTCTCTGCTCCTGTATTAAATCAACCCTGTGAGTTCTATTCAAGAGGTTATATTACCATTACTGAAGTATCAGTTACAAAATGCTCACCACTTCATTGTATGGTTTTAGTACAAGTCGTTGGTTATCCAGCCTAGCATATAAGTAAGGTATTTGTGTTGTAGTTATAAGGCATTATTGACACAACTGTGGCACTATCCATAGTTCAGGCAGGTACTCTTAATCTGCTATAACACAGAGGGCAGTGCACAATCATGGGACAATCTCTCACTCAAGCATATAAGTATTGGGTCATAAACGTGGAGGCTATATCAATGCTTGTTGCTCCATGTTCAATCAGTCAGCTGCTTCAGCCATGTTAGGATGCTACCTCTGCATACAAAGTCTAGATATAAGGTATCTAAACATTAGAAACTATTTGCGGGGTAAGCAGAAGTTACAATCATTCAGATTTTGCCACAATACCCAACTCTAGTGCTAACATGTCTACAAATTCCACCCTTGATATGATAGACAACCATCTTAATTACCTCCAGCCTGTGACACACTCAGGGATACAATGGACAGGTATACCATAATACTTACACGAGAATTGACCAGATGCTAGTGAACAATCCTTCTGCTATATTGTATAGTCTAGTTAATTAAATGAAGCCCAGGAAAAGAGGACAAAGAGCCTCACATATGAAAACTTGAGGGTAAAAAATGGAGGCAATACCCACATTTGTGGGGGGAGTAGAGAACAAGCCCCAGACTTTCTTATTTTTTTTTTTGTAAACATGAGGTATACTGTGAGGGACACAATTGAGGCAAAGGAGGCGTTGTCCGCAGCAACCAATTAGATGAACTATCTTTTTCTTAACTGCACTCAGTTTTCACTAACAGAGCATTCAATATATTATAAATAATCTGAGTGTTCCAAACTGAACATATAATTAAGAGCAAGGGTCACCTTCAATGAAAACCAAGTGTTAAAACAATCAGATGAAAGCACTTGGCCCTACCTGCTCTGACCTCCTAAGCCACTCTGTTGGTCCTTTATGATAATGTGTGGCCTCATTGATCAAGAGTGTGGTGGCTAAGTAGGCATGAGGTGCAGAGAATGATCTACATTGGCATTTACTGTAACTTCAGTGGCCCATGATTTGAGATCTGCTGAAGGTAATATTTAGGTACGTTATCATCATATCCTCAGAATTGCCCAGGATATTGATAAGTTTACTTCAGAGCCATATTTGATGATTGCCCTGTCAGAGGTCTTGAAGCCAATAGGTGTTAATAAACTTTGGGAGTGGCTTGGTGACCTTTGGGTGCCAAACAAAGTAAAGTGGAGTTAGGATCGATCTTGGTAGCAGATTAAGGAACTGGCATGTAGCACAGATACAGCAATTTTTCTCAGAGAGTCATTTATAAAATATTTTTAAATGTTGACTGGGCACCAATGAGTTTTCATGAAGGTGAAGCAAGGAATTTGACCGGTCACTGTGGACAACATTTTCTTTACTCCAATTTTGTTTAATTGACCTAATTTGGGATATAAAGTATGTATGGTTTTCATAGATTGAGTTGAAATCTTTTGATATATTGTGCAGAATAACCATATTTAGCCATGCTGCTTACATGGCTTTACAAAGTCAGTAACATAACTGGACAGAAAGACTCAACATTTGTCCAATAGAGGTTATTTAGTGGCCCAGTTTTGCTAATCTCAGTGAAATTTGAAAAAATTGCGATTGGAGCAAATTTAGAACTGTGCCCATTAGTCAGATTCTTGGCAGCATTTAAAAGATTTAACCTGATTGCCTCCATTTTTTGTAAATCCGCCCCTGTTATTTCACTTGAAGGACAAAACTGGTGGCAGAAGTGCCACCTTTGCTCCAGCTTTGTCACATCAGCCACTTATTGGACTGAACTAATTATCTGGCATTCAGTATAGGAATACAAAAGGGACTAGCTCACAATTTTCTGGACTTTGTCATTCAACTGTGGACATCTCCATTCAATTGTCTGGATCATTCTTCCTACCGTTATACATATACAGGCTTATGTAATGAGTGATGCAAGAAGTAACCAGCAATCATAAATCAGCTTTCACTAGTCAGTCCTATCTAAGCTGCTGGAAGCTAATTTATGATTCACTGCCACCTTGCCATTGGCTATAGCACTCCACTCCTCCTTTTACTCTTATTAGATAAGTCCATTATTCTTTCTCCATTCTGTTTTATTCTGTTGTCCTTTAACAGACCAAGTATGGTGGGCAATAAATACCAAAAACACTGTGGTGGTAACCGATCGCCAGTTAATGTAAGATAACTGAACGTTAACAGGTCTATGGAAATGAAAACAGGTAATGCCTAACATAAGCCATATTAATGCTTTGTATAATCCTTCCTCCTTGACTTCTGTCTCTGGCATTCAGTCTTTTATAACATATATAGTTCCTGACAGCTGTCCTCTGATTCCAGCAGCAGTGCTTATTGATGGCTATCAGTCGCTATGTTATCGTGCTGACAATAAGTTAGATTGTAATATTGGAATGTGTTATTTAAATGGTTGTTCCACCCAAAAGTTTTTCAGTTGTGGGTTGATGGCAGTCAGTTTAAAGCTTGCCACACAAGTTACAATCTGTTTGCACAATCACCATTTAGATCTAGCACCAATTTGTACAAAGGCCGACCTGACCGGATACAAATGTGAAAAGATTATTCGGGTATGACCTCATATTATATAGTTTGGGAAATTCTGTAGGAAAGAAACCACAGATTGTACAATTGGATGGAAAGGTGTGTTACTAACATACCCAGTCACCAGTTTCTCAGGGACTATGGAAGTGAGGACTATGCCCTTGAGTTTCTAGCTCCTCCCACCAGCTGTAGCTACTAAAAACTAGTCTTGTCCCCCCTGATGAATTTAACAGCAAGAGTGGGACTTCTCCAGCTGCAGTAGTAGTAGTAGTTGGGAGACATAATCAGACAGATCTCATTGGTAAAGCCACCAAGATCCATAAGGTGCCAGCAGTTGACTCTGCTCAACCACACCTACCCATAACTATCACATCAATTTTGGATGGACTGACCATTTAAGATTATCTTCTTGCTCATTTGGCGAGCTTCCTCCTTCATATTACTTTAATGTTCCTTCTTTCATTAATTCATATTGTGCTTCTCCGTATGGTTTATGCTTTAAGCACTTGTGGATGCTGTAAAATGCTGCAGCATAGAACACATAAGGCTCAATTCATCAACCGATATTTGGTTTGAGGTTTGTCAGGCTGGATTCACAGCTTTGCTTTGTGAAGTACCATCTATGACTTGTGGGTAAAAAAAAAATCTTGGGCTTTAAAAAGTAAGTTTTGGTGTGTTGGCAGTCCATCAAAATAAATTGGTTGGCTTACCTCAATGCACATTAACATGTAATATAACCCACCACAGAAGTGTGAATCTGGCCGAACGCAAGGATTATGATCTTTCTTTTAGCCGTTTGACTGTCATTTTAAAATAACTGTCCTTTTTTTTTTTAGGATCCCTATCCTAGTGTGTTTGCTTTTTGAATTGATCCTTTAGTGTACAGCAGAGCTGTGTTGTATCCAAAGGCAAGAAAGCTAGTAACCATTTTCCATCGCCAAAAAAACACAAAAGGAAACAAAACAGATACAGCAACGCATTTAGTAAATGTTCCCTTAAGGCAATTACAAGCCAATGAATTAAAGTTATGTGAAGGAGGACAGCCCCTTTAAATGTATAATTCTGTTACAACAGACAATTAGGCAGCTGAGGATTCGGGTTTCAAGCTTCTGAAGCCAAGGCCATTCAGCAAAGGCTGAAAAAGATGTCTCAGATATCCTTAGCTTCTGGTGTAACGTTTAAAGTTCATTAAAAAACGGGCAAAGAAGAATTCCATCGGATCGATCTGCCTGAAGTTACAAGTCAGCATTATCAGCTAAAGCACTTAGCCAGAGGTCATCCCCTCCCTCCCCCCAACCTGAGAGGTCAGAGGTCATGTGGCAGGCCTAGTTACCATTATTTAAAAAAGAAAATGTGCCTTTATTTTACTATCTATGTTGTTTTTTCTGTAACAAATCCTAATTGCAGCATTTTTGCTATTTTGAAAGAATAATTTTTTAGAGCACTTTTGTATATAAAAATTATAAAAAATGTTGGATTTTGTTTTCTTTGGTTCATTTTAATTTCTTTTTTTATTTGAAAAATGTTTCTGCCATTTTTGCATTTTGTTAAAACTGTAAATATTTGGTGTTTTATTCTGTGATAAACCTAGATCCTCCCTTCCCTACAACCCATCCAGTGTAAAATAATTTGACTGCCAATTACAAAAATGAACATAATGAACATTATAATTATTAATGAGTGACTTGCATG